CCGCATCCCACATACAGCAACTAGAAGGATGTGCAGCTATGACATACAACTATCTACTGGGGCTTTGGGGGAAAAAATAAATAAATAAAATTATTAAAAAAAAAAAAGAAAACAAGTATATTAGGAAATTTCCTTTTGTAAGTTATGTTATTTGGAATTGAAATGCGTGTTTTTTGCATAAAATTATATATTTTTATAGTACTGGTGCCTTTAGTTGTGTTGTATTTCCAGTAACTTGTGTTTAAGGTTTTTTTTTTTTTTAAATGTTCTCTTCTTTATGAATGGAAGCATGAGCATGTGATATAGTATAAAGTATCTGTCAGTTCTGTGGGGGTAGGGTAGGAGTTGGACCACACAGGTCATCTAACATATGTGGAGGGGGAGGCTGTTGAGTAGGAGCCAAAAGGTGCCTTTTAAGATACAGTGACTACTGTACCACTGAAATTTTGATTCAGCGTGAAGAAAAGAATCCTCATTGTTCTACATTTTGAGTTCTTCCTGTGTCAGCCAGACGTGTCAGCCAGACATTGGGATCTATCCTTCTATCTGTCCATCCTTCCTTTCTTCCTCTTTTTTTTCTTTTTGGATTTCTATAGAGGAAAAATGCATACACTGTTAAAAGTAGGCAACTAGAGAATCCTGAACTGAGAAGGAAAAGGTGTTTTTATGTCTAGGAGTGTTTAAATGCTTCTGTATGCTTCACAGTGATGTTATCAGCTATCAGCTCCATGTGGTTAGGACCCATGATTGACACCCTGCACCTATTAGGAGCTCAAGAAGTGTTTGCTGAAGATAATGCAGAAAGTTATATCCATTTGTGGTCACTAACTTAGTGCTTTCCACCTCCAATTAGAATACTAATTATTCTGCTATCTACTGGGTATTTCCTATATGCAAGGATTTTGATTTTACTTGGGTGGGAATCACTATTGATTAAAGTAGTAAAAATAATTTTCATCTCAGGTAGAAATAATATCCAGTGGTATTTTCAGGTATTAAAGAAGCTTTTGTGTAAGGTCAGGAAGGTTGACGCTAAAGTCTTGACAGTTCATATCTGAGCCCCACTTGAGAAAAACTCCGACTTGATTGCAGGCCAGCAGACTGTAGCTGGGATGCTCTAGGGCTGGCCTGCTCCTGGCGTGACTGTTGTTAGTCCAGCTTTGCTGAGTAGGCTGTCACAGTTGGTGTTCCTAGTCTAAGGCTGTAGTTTGTAGTGCTAGGCCAGTTAACTCACCTGGACCAACAGCCTCAGATTCACTAGCCACAGTTACCTGACCCTAGCACGTGATCCAGCCGAGGCAACAGGAACAGAAGTACAGCAAAAGCGAACCAATAGTTTAGAAAACTTACTTCCATTACTGGGCCGGCAACACAGATTGCATCTTCCTGTAATGGCAAAAAGGAAAATTATTTCTGACATTTTGATGATAGGAAGGTAAGAGGGAATAGCTTCTTTGTCTGGATTTTCTCTTTTCTTTTTTACATTGTAGTTTACTAGATACTTCTTGATTTATGTCTCATAAGTTCAAAAATAAATAAGCAATTAATAAGGACTGGAGGGCTGATATAAGAAGTCCACAAAAGTCAGGTGCTTAGTAGCTTATGGGAAACTAAAATCCCCTGCCATGTGACGAAAATGTTAGTGAAAGACTTTTCTAAGTTTAGGCAGATAGAAAAGTTCAAGAAGTTCATCAAATCTGATAAGCATTTGCTGAATATCTGCTACGTATCTGCTATTCTGATCTTTTTTTTTAATTTTTTAAATTTTATTTATTTATTTATTTTTCCCCCAAAGCCCCAGTAGATAGTTGTATGTCACAGCTGCACATCCTTCTAGTTGCTGTATGTGGGAC